GCTGGATCCCTCAGGAGCCACAACGTTCGGTGCTCTCCTACAGCATCGTGGGAGGTGTGAATATGTGGGGGCCACTAAGCTGTTGGTGAGGGTCAGGCTATCGTAGTGTAACTCCTTCTTCTCCTACCACTCTGCTTCCAGGGAATAGCCAGAACCGGTTTAGACTGCAAGGGAGCGTCCTGATGCACAATGACACTGTTTTGGGGCCTCCATGGCCAGAGCAGCCCTGCACCTATGAGCTATTGATCCATGTTGCTGATGTGGGCCCTTCCATCCCCCACCTCAGCACCACAGCTACCATCATTGTGCATCTAGCTCCTTGGAGGGCCAGCACGGTGGCCACCAGCACCCGCAGAAGCACAGTGAGGGGGTTCTCAGGCCCTTGGGGGTGGGGAGAGAGGATCTTGAAGGGTGAAGATACCTGGTTTTTTTAGATGGAATTACAAGAGAAGACATTTGGAGGAAACTGCTGGGTGCAGAAAATAAATGTGGGGTGTGAAATACCCCACTCGATAGAGAATTTGCAAGCCAGACTGTCAAAGGCAGTGGTGAGTCTGTGGCCCTCCTTTCAGGTGTCCTCAACAATGACACCCCTGATTGTGACAGATGTAGAGGCTTTCTGGAAGCCAGAGCCTTGGTTTGTGGCAGTGCTGACAGCGACGGGTGCAGTTCTCCTCCTGGCTCTGGGCTGGCTCCTCAGCAGGATCCTACGGGGGTATGTTTTTATCTCTGTGCTTTCTGCTTCCCAGCCTACATACACACACTGGCTGGAATAGGTAATTTTACTCGATATTCGATGACACTGCCAACATTGGTGGACAAACAGATTGAGGAGGGCTGCTGCTGTCTCTCCAGAAGTATTCAGAATAAGACATGGGAAGAGGTCTCCATCATTGGCGGAGTCCAGTTTTGGAACTGGATGAACATAGAAGCTCAGAGCTTGAAATGTACCCATTCCCAACATCCGTTTTCTTATCTGCCCTGCTTCTGCAAATTGAATCTTCCGAGTCTAGGGGTAGGACAGACAACAGTGTGGACATGTCACAAAGGCGCTGGCTGTCCCTAATGTAAAACGACATGATGACACTCACTACTCCTTAGCATCAGCGGCCTGCTATCCTCACTGCTGCTTCCTTCTGGCATTTTAGGTTTGCCCAGTCACTACAGACACCGAACAAACCAGCCAGAGCGCTGCTGCTAAGCAAGTCAGTCTCCTTTGCTTACCTCTATGGGAACCCATCTCCTAAACTTAGGCTGGGACCCAGATTCTTTTATTGTACTTCTACTCTGACTTGCTATAGCATCCAGGGAAATGAAGGTTCCATTGAGAGGCTCATGGAGGCACCAAGAATGGAGATGTCCCAGGTACCCAGAACTTCCATGGGTCTGGTATGCCAGCTCATATCCCAAGTTGAGGGCACAGAGGCTGCTTTAGGGGTACTCCCTGTTCCTGTAAAACTTGCCTTCCCTGTGAGGCTATCCCTGTGAGAGTGCCCACACCACCACCAAGATAGTGGAGGCAGGTGGGCAACCAGCCCTTCCATCTGCTCCCTGTGAGCAAGGTTCAACTCACTGTGCCCTTTTATTCTCTTCAGCAGCATTCTGATGGCAGAGCCCACGATGTCCGTAAGTCTCTACTTTTTATAACTATTCTGTGCTTGGGCCCTCACCCTTCCCCAGAATTTTCTCTTCCCTTTACCCATCTCTCTCTCTCTCTCTCTCTCTCTCTCTCTCTCTCTCTCTCTCTCTCTCTTAACTGCCATCACCAAGCATCCATTATCTACATTTTCATGGACTGAGCTCTTCTCTTACACCCTCCTGTCACCCCCTCACCTTCAGCCAACTTTTGTCAAGAACCAATGGGGCCAGATGACGCAGACCTGGTCTTGTCCCAGCTCACAGTGGGAGGGAGACGGTGGTAAGGGGAGAGCTCCCTAGATCTTCCAGTTTCACTGGTAAAATTGTAGCAGAGTAATCTGCCGTTAGCTGCTGTAGGGGAACTGGTATCCATTGGCTCGCTGTTCACTGGAGTGGAACCTCAGGGCTCTTTACTGAGAAGGGAAGGAGGAGATAAGTTGGGTCCCTGGGGAAGGGGTGATGACATTGCTTAAGACAGTGGTCGGTCCCTTCTCCCCTCCTCTCTCCTGCTCATCTGGGCTCAGGCACAGGGAGAAATTACCTGTTCAACACGCGCACCGGAGCCCGGCGTTGGCTCTAAGGCCAAGCAGCTGCTTCACTCTGTGTGACTCCCCTCTTCACATGGCCATAGCCTGCATTTCCAAGTCAATTTAGTAATAAAGATTACAGACAGAACACTACCCACCTTTTGTAATCTTTGTGGGGAGCTCTGACATCTGTTTCCTTGTTCTTGGAGAAAGTGCCACCTCCTTGAGGGCACCGTACGGAACAGGAGGTTATTTCTCTTTGAAGAAGTGAAGCATTGTCCAATGCTCTGACAGCAGACGGACACTCTGCAGAAGAGGCTCTTTGTCAGCAACTGAGGGCTTCCAGTTGTCTGTCTACTTGGAGATTTGCTGCTGCTTGTTTTTTTTTTTTTTTTGTTTTGTTTTGTTTTGTTTTGAGACAGGGTCTCACTGTGTAGCCCTGGTTGGCCTGGGGCTCTCTATGTGGACCAGGCTGGTTTCAAACTCACAGCATCCACCTTCTGCCTCCTTAGTGTGCTGGGATTAAAGGTGTGTGCCCCCATACCCAGCAAGTCTTAGGTTTTTTGTTTGTTTCGGTTTTTTTGAGACCGGGTTTCTCTGTAGAACAATCTTGGAGATCCTTGAACTTGCTTTGGAAACCAGGCTGGTCTCAAACTCACAGAAACCCACCTGCCTCTGCCTCCCAAGTGCTGGAATTATAGGCACATGCTGTCATGGCTGGCTTGACGTTAGTGTTCATGCATATGGCCGCTAGAGGGCAGCCTCAAGTATCACTTCCCTAACCCTTGCGATAGGGTCTCTCACTGACCTGAAACTCACCAAGGCAAGGCTGGCTGACCAGTGAGGCCTTGGGGACCTGCCTGTCTTCCTTCCCTAGCACTAGGATTACAAGTGAGTATCATCATGCCTAGTGTTTGCTTTTAAAATATACTGTAGATTCTGGAGCTCTCCCTCTTCAGCTCAGTGTTTTTGGGTTTTGAAGGTCCTATCAGCTCTTATGGGCAGCTTGTCAACTTTGGGCAGAGGTTTTACTGGGAAGGATCTGGGATTTCCACATGAAGTTAAGGGGTTGGGGGAGATGTGGGAATCAGTGCTTAGCTGGTCGTGGAGGGGTCGATGAAAGCCTCTTTCCGATGGTAATTTCCATGACTTCATATCCATTTCCACTGATTCTGTATTGCTTAGCTCTTTCTGTGCTACTCTAGGTTGCACATAGCCAGGGGCTTTGTAACAGCCCGAAAAACAGATTTTCCTGTGTACAATGCTGACCCCATGTCCAAACTGGCACGATGTTTGTCTTTAAGAGTACTTGATATCTGAGTAGAGGCTATACTTAACTATTATCTTCAAGTTACCTCAATCTTCCTTTTGTCAAATCTGTGGGGCTGAACTCTTTGAGAATTGGACAATCTCCATTCTGAGGCCAGTTATAGTACCCTAGGCCAAGCGAGGGAGAGACCCTCTGGAAAGACGCTCCTGTGGTCTTATTTTGGAGATAGGGTCTCAATGCAGCCCTAGCTGGCCTGGAACTTGCCATGTAGACCAGGCTATCCTCAAACCCAGAGATTGGCTTGTCCGTACCCCTGGAGAATGAAGGTGTGTACTACCATGTCCTGCCCAAGAAAAAGTCTCTAAACATTTTTATGTGTGCATATATGCCACATGTGTGTTGGTGACTGCCCACGGTGTTGAGATGTGTTGGGTCTTATGAAAGTGGAGTTACAGACTGCCATGAGCTGCTTGGTATGGGAGCTGGGGGCAGAACTCGGGCTGTCTTGAAGAACAGCAAGTGCTCTTAACCTCTGAGCCATCTCTCCCACAAACACTCATTATGGTGTTTCCATCAAAGCAAGAACGTTAGAGGCTTCAGGCCCAGCAGCCTGAGAATGGCTATAGGAGGCTTTACCCCAGTACTTGGCTTATTTTAAGAGCTTATTAAAATTTCCTCTTGTTCATCCTCATTTTATAGACAGGACAACCAAGATTCAGAAGCTAACTCTAGAACTCAAAAGTTCTAGAGTTAACTAGTCAGGACATGTGGGTGTGGGACCAGGTGCTGTGGTGCCCTTGGTATCTTAACCTTAAGTCCTGGAGAACAAGGGATGGCCATCTTTGTAGAACTCAATAGTTTGCCTTGGACACAGGTCATAATAGCCAAAGGCAAACGATACTGTCATAGGAACTTAACGGATGCTCTGGGGCACTGTGTGTTGAGACCTTGTCCCTGATACAGATTTAACTCTATGCAAAATGAACGGGGGAAAGGGGAAGCCAGAAACAGAGAAGGTAGCACAGAAGGCTGTGGCTGGGAGACGCTTCGAAAACACTGGTTAACTCTGGAGCTAGAGGAGGTGAGGTGCCCATCACACCACCACTGCCTAAGGCTGTGTGTTTTGACCTTGGCTCAACATCTCTTCAGCGCCTCAGTTTCCTCATCAGTGAACTAGGGTAGATTTCAACTACAGAGGCAGGCGACAAAGCAAATACCATACCGTTGACATTCCCTAAGTGTGTGCAAGAAGTATGATAAATGCTGCCAGCTCAAAACCGAAAAGGTTGCGCAGGTGAGAAAAGCAAGGGCGCTCTAGCCTAGCCCATCGCCAGCAAAAGCGCCACCGCCAGCAAATCTGAGGACAGCGCGCATGCGTCAACGCATGCTGTCACAGTCACGTGCCCCAGGCATTCTGCACGAGAGGCCCACTCTGACAGACGGAGCAGTTGACGAATCGGCGGGGAGAACTCCTGCAGGTATCGGGAGGACCGGCTGTTGATTGGAGAGGACCTCAGGCAGGGGCGGGTTCCTCGCTGTCCTTGGTTACTATGACGCCCGGCCCCCGCCCCCTCGGCTGGCCGCCATCTTGTTGTTGATCCGTACCCAGTGGGCAGCGCCAGGAGCTGGACCGAGCGGCCGGTGCGGGGCCGCTGCTGCGGGGCTCAGCCACCTGCGCTGTCTGCCAGGGGGCGGGACGAAACCTGGAGGCCCGGGGGGCCCAGCTCCCGTGGGGAGCCTTGGGCGCCCGCTGCCCGGGTCCGGCCGGTGAGTGACAGGCGTCGGGCCAAAAGACCCGCCCGACACCCACGGCTAGGGTGGCGGCGGGCGCGGGGTTGGAGCAGGCGCGCGTAGGGCAGGGTCGGGACTTAGGCCGAGCATCATTGGAACATCATCCCAGAATCCTGGTTGGCCTTCTGCAGAGCCTCCCAGATGCTGGCACGGAGGCTGGGAGGGCAGCCCGGGTGGAGGTCGGAGAACCCACCCTGTGCCCAAGGACCAGCCGGCAGAATAGCGGGAAACCTGTCTTTCCGACTAAATCCCTGGGTGCCGCCGGCTGAGACGTGGTCACTGCTCGCTTGTTCTCCGGTAACGTTCCTCCAAACCAGTGATAAACGTGCGTCGCTCTTAGATACCACATTCCTGCGAGTAATTTTTTTTTTTCAGGCCGCTTGAGACTAAGATTAGAAGAAACAGGCCTAAAATGCCTTATGACCCAAGCAGGTTGGTATTAGGGCCCTGTGGTTTTGGTAGGGCCTGTCTGTCTCTGCATGGAGAGACCCCTTGGAGCCTTCTGTGCTCTTCCGGACTGTATACTGCTTCTTGGAGAACCTGGTTAAATGTCCATAATGGCTGAGTTTTATTTGGGGGTATAAATTCTCTGGTGCTTGACCACCACCACTTTTTCGAATGTGTTTTAAGGAGGATAAGGATGGTGATTTGGTTAATTTTTTTTTTGTCTCCTAAAGAGATAGTACGTTAGAAGTATTTTAGGATTACTAAAAATATTTTTATTATGGATGGTCTTGAACTGTCCCATTAACTTTTTAACAGAACTGAAACCGGGTATGAGAGCTCATGCATTCGACTGAGGCAGGAGGATGGCCTGCAATGATGCAAGACCCTGTCTCGAAACAAAAGCAGTGCTAAATGTTGCTGATGTGAAAACAGCCTGACAGGCCTGTTCCTTACAATGGAGGTGGGGCTTGCCATCCCCAGAAAAGGCCCTGACTGCTCTAACATTCTACCCAGGGTCCCTTAGCTTCTCCACACAGGTGTCTTGTATGTTGTCATCGTATGAAACCTACAATAGATGAATAAGGAGGTTAAGCAGGCAATACTCTTCATTTCTGTTAGGCTGTCACATCTGAATACTTATTTTTGAAAGAAACCAGCACTCCCTGGTCTGGAGGTACCTTTGGAAAGCCAGGGCAGAGGCGTGTGTGTGTGTTGCTGTTTGCTGCTATTATACTTGTGATGAGAGAGAAGTTGAGTAGTATTGTTTATTTCATGGCCCTTCCACAGGGCCATTTTTTGAATGATTAATAGCCTTAGTGAAATAGTTTCTTGGGTAGTTATTAAAAGGAGTGAGATACTAAAATAGTAGCTTCTCAAAGTGTGTCGTACCCAGCCCCCCAAACTCCCATAGCTTTTATTTACTTATTTTTGGAAGGTAAATCAGTCACAGGGTTAATTTTTGCTGTTTGTGCTAAAATCACTAACCCTAAGTTAGACTCTTATCATCTCATTTTGGGTATCGGATCTCTTAGTGATGTAGAAGGAGTCTATTAATCAAGAGTCAATTAATTGACTTTTAATCAAGAGTCAATTAATTGACTTCTGCATACAATCTCAGGGAGTTTGAAGGCCCATTAAAACTCTCCTTGCCTAACCCTATGTTAGAACTGCTGTTCCAAGGAAATTAGAATACATGAACTTTCAATATCTTTAATATTTGTTTTATGCTTTGTTTACTAGATCATTAATACTTATGAAAATGATATGATGCTTGATTCAACAGTTACCCAAAGACAATAGCGTTATTTCTATGCTGGGTATTTTAAATGCTGCATCTTAAAGGCCATTTTTATGGTAGTAGGTCCTCTATCTTCTTTGTGTTTGTATAATTCATTTGTAAACTTCAGCACTTTAGGTATGTTTGATTTGGTTTGATTTGGCTTTTCAAGACTGGGTTTCTCTCTATAATAATCTTGGCTGTCCTGGAACTAACTCACTCTGTAAACCAAGCTGGCCTCAACCTCAAACTCACTGAGATCTGCCTTTCTCTGCCTCCCAAGGGCTTGGATTAGGTGTGGCCACCACTGCAGGGCCACTTTAGGTCTATCTATTTATTTGCTTAAGCTTTTTGAGACAGGGTTTCTCTATATAGCCCTGGCTGTCCTGGAACTCACTCTGTAGAACAAGATGGCCTCTGCCTCCTGAGTGCTGGGATTAAAGATGTTGCACCATCACTGCCTGGCTCACTTTAGGTTTTTTGAGATCATGGTCTTTGTGAATCTCAGGCTGTTCTGGATTTCAAGTGTACATACATCTGGCTTAGCATTTTCTTTGTTTTTCTTGAGATGTTCTTAACATAGCCCTGGCTGTCCTGGAACTCACTCTGTAGACCAGGATGACTTCAAAGTCACAGAGATCCACCTTCCTCTGGCATGGACTGGGTTAGCACTTTTAAACTATAAGGAGCAGCTAGATACACAGATGGTGGCTATTCTACACTGGAGACAGGAAGATAGATCTCCGAGTTTGAGGCTACCCTGATCTACAAATCTAATTATAAGACAGCCAGGGAGGGCTACACAGAGAAAGCCTGGGGCAGGGTGGGGGGTAGGGGGAGTTGGGGGGGAACACACACGGATAGACAAGATTATAGGATGCGATCTGAGGTCTTAATGTGGCATCCCAGCCAGCCCCAGCCCACCTCCTTAGGTTTTATCTTTATCATCCACTAACTAAACAGCTTCCTCATCATTCTATATGTATTTCACTCTCCAGTTCCTCTTGACTTGCTGAATCCCATGACCTTTGCCCTTTGCCCCTTTTAGGATTCTCTTTTCCTTCATCGTTTATCTCCAGCATTCAGTTCAAGTCCTCCTAGATTTATAAAACATTTCAAGCATTTGATTCCTGGAGCATATTCCACTCCCTTTGAACTGCAAAAGCATTAAACAAGTACAACCTAAACAACAGAGTAGGATTTGCTCTGCTTTTTGTGCTGTACTTGTGTGCATATACATGTTTCAGAGAGTTAGAAGTCAGAGGATAATTCCTCTCCCTTTACCGGGGGTTTCAGGAATCCAACATTGTTGTCATGTTAGCCCCTGAGCCTTATCCCCTGAGCCATTTTGCCAACCCTGTTTCATTTTTTGAGACAGACTATTGCTATGTAGCCTAAGGAGGCCACCAACTTGTTTTGTAATCCAGGTTGATATGTAACTCTTAATCTTATTCTCAATGTGGCTAGAGAATGACTGCCTGACCCTGACTACTGAAGAGCCTGCTCCTATCTTTTATACTTCCAGTGCTGGGATTAAAGGTGTGTGGTCCCAGGTGCTGAGATCATCTTTGTGTGAGCTGTTTCTCCTTAGGACTGGATCAGTTATGTGTAGATCTTCATGGCCTTGTACTCACAGAGACTCGCAGAGATCGTCTGTCTCTTAATCCTGTGTCCTAGGATTAAAAGTGCGTACCACCATCTCCTAGATCTGGCTGCTGGAATTAAAGGTGTGTGCCTGGCTTCTATAGTTTGTGGCAGATACAGCATAACAGAAGGTGGAGGACTTCAGCATATGCACAACCTCCCCCAATACCCACCCAGAAAAAGTTCTAGGGGGAAAACTGTTCAACAGTTACAGCACTGACTGCTCTTCCAGAGGCCCAGATTCAGTTCCCAGCACCTACATAGGAGCTCAACAACCACCTGTTTACAATTCCAGTCCCAGGAGATCTGACCCGCTCTTTTGGCCTCTTCTAGCCTCTGGTCACTACATACATATGATGCACAGACATTCAGGCAAAATACCTATACAAAAAACAAAACCCTTAATTTCAATAACCCCCATGTTACTGTATACATACAAATGTTTTAGTGGTACAGTAACTGCTTTCTGGCAGGGACACCTTTTTGTCTTTTTGCACTTGAATTTTGATGAACTAAATGTTTATAAAGGTATACTAAATTTGTCTGAGTTGGAAGTGAAATATAATTACACAGGGAAGTGAAAGGGAGTGGACAAATAGAAATGGCAATTTGGTGGTCATGAGTCGCCACCTATTCACACCTGAAGTGCTTGCACTGTTTACTCTAGCGTATGTGGATTCAGGCCCAGCCTCTGTATTAGAACTTGCCCCAGACTCAGAACTAAGCCCTTGGGGTGTGGGGGAGCGCCTGTCTCAGCAGGCAGGGCCTGTGTGGTCTGCTCCCTTCCTGGCTAATGCCAGTCTTGGCTCTTAGGAAATGTGTTGGCTGAATATAGTGGTGTTGATAGTCTTAGATCCTCTTCTTGCTTAGGACTTCCCTCTCCCCGTCCTTTGCCTGCCACTAGGAGCAGTGACAGGCAGAGCTGGGGGGAAGGATTCCATGGTACCCTCCCTCTCCCTCTCTCTCTCTCTCTTTCTCTCTCTCTCTCTCCCCTTCTTGGCTTGGAGCAAGAAAGCAGTTGGGTATTTTGTATGTTTGTGACATTATGCTGCTGTTGTAGGTTTCTTTTTATTTTCTGAGGTAAGGTCTTACTGTAGTTCAGACTGGCCTGGGAATCACCATGTAGCCTAGGCTGGCTTCACTCTCAGTGATCCTCCTGCTGTAGGCCCCCAAGTGGTGATACTTAGAGGAATGAGCCATTATGTTTAGCACAGACACACCTCAACTCCCTTTCTAGTATCTTCTTTTAGACAGGTTGTCATTGTGGCCCTGGCTGGCCTGGAACTCACTATGTGCATTTGGAGGTTAGAGTACAACTGTCCGGATCATCTCACTGCTTCCCCCCCTTCTCTTCTTCTCCCCTCCCCTCTTTTGTCTAACAGTCCTGGCTGTCCTGGAACCCACTTTGTAGACCAGATGGCCTCCAGCTCAGAGATCTACCTGCTTCTGCTTCCTGATGCTATACCACTCTACCTGGCATGCAGGTGTTCCTCCCTCCCTCCCTACTTACCTACCTACCTGCCTACATGCACACACACGTGTACATACATACACATCAGTTTTTAAAAAAAGAAAAGAGCCGGGTGGTGGCGGCACACACCTTTAATCC